TCTAGAACCTCGCCTTGCCACATCCCAAAATGTCCGGACCCGTCAAATATTTCTACCGCAAATTTCGCATTTGACACAATTCTTGTCATAAGCGAAGATGCCAATGATGACGTATTGTTGACACTTGATGTAGATTCTTCTTGTTTATTGTCTCCCATATTTGACACAAATATTATTTAATAGCTGACGACACAAATCAAGATTATTTCCTTTCTGATGTAGAAGATCAGACTAAGCTGCAACCACAGAGCATACTCAGACAGAACCTTGACTCAGTTACCAAGATAAATCTTTTCTGATGTGGAAGATCAGACTATGCTGCAACCACAGAGCATACTTAGACAGTACCTTAGCTCTGATACCAATTGTTGCGGAAGCCAAATGTATATAGTGTAAATAAATCACAACTACTAGACCAAAAAATTATGACAGCCACCAAATAATAAATAAGACAATAAAGCAACAATAAAAGGAACACCAAAATTTACGAGATTCGGCCAATTTTGCCTCTCCTCGGACACAACCAATATTTTATTCCACTCCAAAATACAAGTGAAATAATATTAAAGAGAGAAGATACAAATGCCTTAAGAAGATAAGAAGGCAAATGAGAGGTGTGTTTAAATCCTAAACATTAGGCCTCCTTTTATAGGGAAAAAATCCCAACCAATTTGGTCTTCCACCGATGTGGGAGTTTTGGCATTCAACATTATCTCCATTCCCAATCAACCAAGAAAATAAAATTGGGACAAGGAACATTCAGAGGAGGACACTTTAGAAAGGGCTTAACTGTCATACTTGGAAAGTATTTCTAAATTCCTTTACTGTGAATGAGTTGAACATAATAATATTGAGTTATTTACTTATATTATTTCCTTTATATCTTGAGTTGTTATTGGTTATTGAAATTGGTCTCTCACTGTTTCTTCTGAGCTCATCACTGCTTTCAGCCCAAGGTTAGATTTGTTACTTTGGAATACATGAGATCGGTTGTACTCATACTACACTCTATACTTTGTGTGCAAATCCATGTACTTCCGGACGTGGTGATTGCTAGAGTTGTGTTGATACCAACTTTTGGGAGACTACGGGGTAGCTGCTATGTCGTTCGCATACCTTGAAGTTCTCTTTCATTTTTGTTATTACTGTTCTACTGTTCAGACAATTGTATTGAGGATTTGGTCTTGTATTTTGATATTCAGTGGTGTTCTTGTACTCGTTGATACCAGATCGTTAGGATAATTGTAGAACTATTACTGTTGTTTGCAGTTATTTCATGATATCTCCTCTACTGAGTTTACTAAATTCCATTTTAGTGAATTTACTGTTATTGTGGAACTGTTAACTTGCCTAGAAAAAGTAGTGTTAGGCGTCGTCGTGGCTTCGGTGGGAGTTGGGTAGTTACACACCACAATCCATACGAGTGAATTAGCTTAACCCAGACTGAAGATCCTTCCTGCTACCTTAGCCCACAAGCCTTAGAATCAAATTCCAACATCCGAAATTCTCTACAAGGTCCGATCCTAGCATACGTACACCGTATCAATCTCGACAAGTTGTACCAAAACGTGATCATACATCCATGTTGTAATCGCACAATGCACCATATAATTTATTTGCCAATAGTAACACTTCCAATCACAATAGCTACAAATTTATGAACTCGATGACTGTAATATACCTCATGACACATACACGCCATGTTCTAACCCTTGTAATACTGCAATGATAAAAGAGATGTGTAGAAACTCACAACCACCCATCAAATCAATAACTTGTGGAGCCTATTTGCTCGATAAGAACACCCATTGCCGCATTCTAAACCGATTAGTATCATTTTTCCTCTAACATACATTATACAAACCCGATTGCATTGATTTCAGGTTCAACAACTTCGTCTCACCCAGTACAAGCTGCTCAGTCGACAACCACATCAAAATTATCTAAAATCTCATAAGACCCCATCGATGCGCCAACAAGCCACAACTCAAATATGATCAATAAGAAAAAGTGAACCCAAGTATAGAACTATCCAGCCCGTGTAACGAATAAGACAACCAAACAAATACTATGAACCTATCTCAGAGATGAGAAATAAAACACATAAATAAGTATAAGGAACCGTACCCGACATCTCACTGTTGCGGCGTACAACCTGATCCAAATATCATACACGTGGCGGCATGTCACCTGATTCATACATAATCAATCTGCTTGGGAATACCCTTCAAGCTAAAAATGCTCATATTCACTAGACACACGTATAACAACCATAAGCATGCCAAGTGCATAAACATAACCCTAGGGAGATGGATAATGTCATGCGCTACAAAAGGCCAAGCATGACTAAGGTGAAATAAACAACCAGAATTTCGAGAGCCATTTCGCGCTCCTATAACACCACAAGCTACACGGGGTTATAGCATACGTGCGAATAATCAAACCATCTCACAACCCACATGGCATAAAAGAGTAAGACACGAAATAGGCGACGTCAGGAATAACATCCACCATGCCCAAAGACTCATCCATAAGCAATGTTATGCTGAATAAGCATATCTGATCTGGTGTAGAATATACATTCACATTAGGTCTACCAACGAACCTCAGCCAATTCCGATCATTTCAAAATAGGTCAATAACCTTCCAAAGACCCACAATGCCCCTATCCATGACACATGCGATCAACCGTCAAATTCGGAACAAATTTTCACAGTCCGCAACTAAAAGAATAGAGTGTCTCCCTGACATCAACTCCTCAATCAGCGACAGTACCAGAATCTTCATATTTGATTTCAATCTCTACCTTAAATGACTGACATGTCACACTTACACAATCATTATGTGGGAGATACTCCCACCACCTTCCGCACCAGGTAGCAAAATATGCACATCCATGGATACCAACCATACTATTTTTGTAATGCAATTCAAGAATCCTTAAATCAACAAACAATGCCTCTTCCATAGAACACCATTCTCAAGCAACACTAAAATAGCGCCAGCATACTCTGAACATCTGAAATCTTCCCCCCGCTCCTTCGAGCTCGTGACATCCCTGTCAAAACTAAATCGCAACCTTGATCTTTCAATCCAATTCCATACCATTCACTGCATCCATCATGCTGTTACGCGGGAGTGCGTACAAGAATTCCATCCAAGCCCAACATCGCATCTACGGCCACCCTGAATGCTTTTGCGGTCACGCACTTGCGCCCTTCCTTCGCAGATGCGAAAACACAAGAAATCAGAAGCCTTCCGCCATGCCAACTAAACCAAAATGATTCGAAAACTCATCCGAAACACACCCGAGGCCCTTGGGTGTGTCTACTCACACCATTCGGTCCCAAATTATAACACAGACCTACTCGAGGCCTCAAATCACACCAAACAATATAAAAATTACTAATCGCACCTCAATTCAAACCTAAGGAACTAATGAACTTTCAACTTCAAATATTTAAATTCAAACTTACGCCGAATATGCATGATCGGAGAGTAAGAGTTGGACATGTTTGTGTTTGGCTATGACGAAAGTATTTCGAATTCTTTGGCTTTCTATCGGAATAATTTACTGATTTTTGCAGCAGACAGTTACATTGAAGGGCACATATGCTGCTTTGCACCCAAAAAAAAAAAAAACAAACTAGTGGTTAGTTTGATGTTGGGAAATTGCCAAGCTTAACTTCAAATTTAAATGCCTGCGGTTCGAACTGCACAAGCAATGTATCAACTTCAGACATAAGGTATCAAATTTAAATGTCTGCAGCAGCAATCTGCGCACTTCCCTTAAGAATTTTGAGTTTAGAAGGTTACGCTTTCGGTGAATGCAAAGTCACCTCAGTTTGGTCGAACAATGTAACTCATACAAGGTTACAAAAGCCTTCTCCAAGCATACAATTTTTCCTAGGACTGTTACAGCTAACCTTGCATATACCATGGAAAAAATGAATTCGATTAAGTGCTTTGTGTTATTTTCCTGTGTCGCTTTTGTCTGTAACGGACATTTTTCTTGACCCTATGCGTGCTTACAAGTTGAGATAAATGTTTATTAGCAATGAGTTCCAGGATTGGGAAGAGGAAAAAAATGGTTCAGAGAAGGGCCATTCTTTTTAGCCACAAAGCATGCATGTTAGAATCCCATTCAGAAAGTACATATCCTAAAGCCATTTAATAACAAAATAAACAGAGCTTGCTTTGTCCGTAATCTGGAACTGTGACACTGGAAAATGTCTCCTAGTTCCAAGTCAACTTGTCTTTTACACATAATAAAATTATACATCAACTTAGTGATACACCACACTTCCGACATTTAGCTGTTCGCGACAAGCTCATCAATTTCATCTGCATGATCTCTGAGTACATTCCACTGATCCATACTCAATGAGATGCCTGAAATAGGAAAAAGGAAAAACACTACTATTAGGTATGGTTTCTCAGTCTGCCGATACATGAACCTCTGGAAATTATATTCAAAGAAAGATACAAGATGAATAAAAATATAAATAAACTTGTGTTGAGAATAGGAGATATAACTAAAGCAGTTAACAGTTGGTCTGTGGGCAAGAACTCGCGCTCCCACCCTCCCTCTTTATTTATTCTTTTAAAGCAGTGCAGGAGCTGAGAGCTGTTTGATGTTCAATTAATTAAGGAATGTATTTTAAAGAACGAAAAGCACCATGGAGATGCACCAGTACATATATAAAGTACAAGAGGAAACTTCAGGACATGCTGAGGAACCTACACAGATCAACCAAAGAGGCAACACGAATTAAGTTTGAGCCAGAGGAGTTTCAGAACTGCACAATGTCTTCAATTCTATTTGCCCATGTTCGTGCAATGCAAGTTTGTTTAATACGTATGCATTTCAGCTATGAGCTGATTCCATCTAGCCTCTCGCATAAACCAACTGATTCTCTCTTTCTACAAGTTTCACTATGCCCCAATTCAGCTCAATTAACAATGTTCACTTCTAACATCAATGGTAAAGAGACAGCATATGGTAAATCTATTTTAAGAAAACTATTGATGCATCTCAAAGTATGTCAGTTCTGAAAAAGTTCAGAACTACAGTTAACATTTGTAAATGTGACTGAACGGCACTAAAAGAGTAATAACTTTATTTCTAGGTAATATCCCTTCCTTTTCAAATTGAATTATACAATCACGGGCCTTGTGAAAATAGTGTCCACATACTACAATGTCACCTTTCATCATTTACTTAATATTTTTCTCTTGACCTTTCTAAGAGGCAGACCTTGTGGGAAAAGGAACTAACTCTGGAGAAGAAATCTGACATTTGGAAGGACAGAGCCACCAAGGCTAACATAAAGAATGTCAACAGTTTCCTAGCTGGTGGCAGAAAGCTCTGGTAGACCTCAAGGCAAGAACGATAGGAGCAAAACTCTTCTCCTGACCATAAAAGCCACATTCAAAGCATATCTTGCTTTCTACACAATGGAGTAAATCCTGTAGATTCTTCATTTGCATAGTATTGCCAGAGTCGACCCACTATGATATGATTTGAGTTGATCTGTCAGAATGCGATAATAACGTGCCAGCATGAAAACTATGTGACATGTCAACAAAGCAACGGTAATGAGTAACTAGTAAGACCAACAGCATTCAGTCAGCAATTTTCCATTCTGCAGGTTACCTACAGTTTATAGGCCATTACCTAAGCTAATACAGAAACCTGTGAAAAGGTATACTTCCGAATTGGCTCGCGTGTAGAGACAGATGCTCCTTTCATCAACCAGCTTCATATGGGAATTGCAATGAGAAATGATAATTCTTAGGAACGACTGAAATTGAAAAATACAAACCCAAAAAAGAAAAAAAACCAATATCCTCCCTAAGTTACTTCACACTAATCTTGAACCCGTTCCATATCCAAGATTACCGAAATTCGTCCTCAAGTCTTCAACATTTTTATTGTCGTCCCAGAATTTTGATAAACCGAAATATTACAAGTGCTAGCATTGAATTTGATATATATGAATCCTTGTGCGAAGTGCGAACATAGATACCGTTTCATAGGAAAAAGTACATTATGAAAGAAACCACCTCTTCTCCTTAACTTGAGTATAATTATATTAGAGTCTAGGTAAGAAATTCGGAAGAACTCCGACTTCTATACATTTAAGGAGGGCGCAAAAGAATGGTTGGCAAAAAGGAGCATAGAGGCGCACGTCACGAGTTAGAACCCGGACAAAAGTCTGGCATTTAAGTGGAGACGGGTCGCGGGGCAGGCCCATTATCCACCACGTTTTAAACTGTATGCCAGTGACCCTCGGGAATTTCTCGGTTATCAATCTGAATCAAAAGAGGATATGGGAAATCATAGTTACAACTTTTTGAAGAACGTCTCGACGGAAAGCAATTCATGACATATCTGCTTTGTTTTAAGGATGTTGAAAATACTGGCTATCTAAGAGGAACACCAAGATACACAATTCCTCCTAAAAAGAAACATGAGCAACAAGAGAGAAGATAACAAAAGAAACTTAGAAACCCAAGAATTTTCATGCTACTTGTCACGATCAGCAAAAAAAAAACAAGAAAAGAAAAACAAAAACTAAAATTAAATACAGATGTATCAGGGGTAAATACTTATACGCACCTGGTGTTTACAGCAAACCAAGTAATATAACCTTAATGTTAAAAATTAAAATGAAAATGCATATCAATAAACTATTCTTAAGTGATAGATGTTTATGTGAAAGACATGTCTTGAATTCACCATATATAAAGACCAGCTGAAGGTTCAATCCTCGGCGAGAGAAATTCATTCTACTATCCCATGCTACCGAGTTGATAAAACAAAAAGTATCCCTTATTTCTCGTCATCATATAAATAAAAAATTATTATTTTAAGAAAACCCCTAAAAGAATCATTAGAGTTTCAAATGTAGCTAGCATCGCCCAAAATCACATACAGAAACCGAAAAGAAAAATAAAAAATAAATAGGCATCAGGTACCTTTTCTGCCAGGCATTTGCTTGCCATCTTTAACATAAAACTCACGAATATCCACCATTATCTTCCCTTGAAAGCTCCTAACTGATACTCTCCGATTCTTAGAAATCTGAAACCAACGCAAAAATCAGAAAAACAGTAGAAAAGTAAGTGAGACATAAAATGCTCGGGTAAGTGAAAAGAGAGACCTCACACACGACGATGCCATCAGCATCGTCAGAATCATCAGTTCTGGAAGATTTCTTAGGAGGATTGTCGCCTTCTGAAGCGTACTCATCCTCTTCCTTTCTCTTTCCGAACCTTCTCGACATTTCTTCAGGAAAGTTGTGGAATTTTGAGAAGTGGGAATTGGGGATAATAATACTGTACCCTTTTTGGGCGTTTGAGTTTCATTCCCTGGCCCTTGCATTTTTGGTTCTCCTAATATGGGCCTCGGGATGGTTGAACCGGATTTAAGCCCAGAAAGGTCCAGATTTATAGAGCCCATTTTTTTTTTGTTTACCGTCTTAGCCGAAAAGATTGTATTTTCGCTTTTTGTATTTTCCTTTCAGTTGATTAAAAGTAAAAATAGAAGACTGTAATATAGGAATTACACTTTTGAAATGAGCATACATATCTAATTTCTCCCAACTCTCTCTCTTGTCCTATTAGGTTCTTTTCTTCTCCCTTCTCTCGTAAATGTTGCATTACCTCACCCATATGATACCATTTTGGTATTATTGATATCAGAGCCAGGTTACAATGGACCCGAAAAAAGTTGCTGATGTTTAATTGAGCAATCCAACCACAGATTTACAGAAGCAATAAGAGGATCTGGCAGCTCGACAATTAGATTGGCGAGTTGTAATGGAACAAATACAACAATAATTGCGCGAGGATATGAATCGGAAGCATGCAAAGCTTATCCAAATGCTCAATTCACTCAAATATTCAGTTGATGGAACACATTTACACCTGCAATCAAAGGACAAACAATCGGCTAAGAGTCGAAGACTTTCTCAGAAATTGGAATTCAAATTAAGCGAAATATAAGTAAAATATGAAGAGTCAGTGAATACTACTACAAGTCGTGCTTTGTTGTTTGCTCTATTGGGAGGTACTATCGCAAAAAATAGGAAGCTCTACATTTGTGTTAGCGGTACTTCAAAAATAGTAAATTTAACCTCAAAACTTCTCCCTTAGATTCTGTCCTCGTAGAGAGTGGTGAAGTTTTGGAGGATATGTATTTAAATATGATTATGATGTTACACCCCATATTTTTGTACATAGAAAGTACGCCATAAGTAAATTGATATAAAATCGAAAATGAGATGTTACGTCCCACATTTTTGTACGTTGATGTTTCGTCGTAAGTTAATCAACGTAAACTCGGGAATGAGATTATTTTGGAATTATAAGTATTATGCTATTTCACACAAGGGATAAGTAAATTTGTGAAGGTAAGAGGGTAAGAAAATCGAAGAAAATGAGTTTCGTCGAAGTTTGTCAATTTGGAATAAAATACGGTTCGAGCTATAATGCCCGATATTTATGGACTAGTACCATACAAAGTACCACATGCCATGATAGTGAGGTGTATAAGGTGTGTTAAAAGTGAGTAGTATTTTAAGTAAGTTGAAATAATTCTTAATTATGTGAGTAATTGATTAATTATTGGGTAATAGGATATTACCTAGTTAATTAATAATTATTGGTGGTTGTCTTTGGATAAAGACTAAGTTCTTTGGATAAGAAGTAAATTACTAATTTTCATTCCTTACATATTCGGTGCATTATTTGTACTGACGTCCCATTTGCTTGGGGACGCTGCATTTTATGCCCGCAGGTCCCGATAGACAGGTCAAGAGCCCTCCAAGTAAGCTATCAACTCAGCAGAAGATGTTGCTGTGTTCCATATGCTTCGGAGTTGCTTGTTTGGTTAGTATGATTTAGACATGTATTGTTTAGTATGTCGGGACTCTGTCCCGACCTTATGATAATTATGTAATCTTCGAGGCTTATAGACAGATGTCATGTATACGGATGCTTGTATGCCCTTGCCGGCCTATATTTCGAGTTTACAAATGATCATGTTGGCTTTATAAGCTCGTATGTCACATGTATAATTTATTTTTTTATCAGGTTGGGTTGTCCTATATTGGGTATTCCCCTACGCCTATTTTGGCTAGCCCATGATGGTCGTTTGGCCCATTTGCTAATGAAAGTACAATAAGAAAGATATGTTATGTTGGTACTCGATTGAGTAAGGTACCGGGTGCCCGTTGCGGCCCATCGGTTTGGGTCGTGACATATGAAAAACAAGAGTTCTAATAATATAGACGCTTTGGAAGACACATTCCTATATGAACTTATCATGGAAGATGAAAGTGATAATATTGCTCACAATGTGCTTGATAATTTGCCAAAACTAAATTATGATTTTGTTGAGAGTAATATAAATGCCTTGGACGGCCTTTATTTCCTTGCACTTTTTATTGAAGCTGAGAGGATAAGTAATCTTCACAGGTTTCTAAGAAATATATGAAATAGATCATGTCAAAGTAGTACATGCATTCATAAGAAATAAAACCAAGTTCTCTCTTGTTTTAGTTGGAAATGGGATGATCTTTCCTGTATGTGATCCAGAGATAGGTTTGAAAGTCAAGTTAAATGGTCAAACAAATAGTGTTAGAGAATTATTGATGGATTTTGCTAACATATTGTGTTTGCCGAGATCTTTTGGTAATATGAGTAGTGTGAGATATTGGATGGCAGTAGTCTATGCATTTTTATGTTGTGTATGTTGGATATGTTTGTTTAGGCGCTATCGTTCCACCATATAGCCCAACCTACAATGGTAAAAGAGACTTCTTCTTACACTTAACAAAGTTTTCCATGAAGGAGAGTATGTTACCTTGGGGTTCAATTTTACCATTAAAATTGCATGATGGCTCTAAAAATGTAGCCATAATTGACTCGTTTGTATATAAATGGTCAGTGAATAGGTGTAATATCCATAAAGCTTCTCAAAGAAGGGATTCATTCATCGCTAAAAGTTTGTCTACCATTAGAGAAAAGATTTTTTTTAGAAGGATATATTTCCTCTGCAAGGAACCAAATATCAGCATCTCCACAACTCTAGGAATAGTTCATTAGTTTTTAAGTTATAAATGACATCTCTCAACCATAGATTTTACTAGTATTGTAAAATTGTGGGAAATTATTAGAGGGACTACTAGTCACAAATATAAATAAATTATAATTGATAAGAAGGTAACAGAGCTACATATTTCCAAGCTATGAAGATTGTGATTATTTGATTTTATCTTTTCTATTGCAATGTATTCTGGTACTCTTAACTTTATGGTAAACTTGAAGATGAAAAAATTATATGGTTCTAAGAAACTCTAAGAGAGTTGTTAGCGAATTGATCAACAAAAAGTAAAGGCAAATTGGGAATGTTCAGTCTTGAGAATATTTTCTGAAATTTTCTTTTGATCCTGGTGATATTTACCATCCTTGATGACAAGGATGTTGTTCAATAGGGGGAGTATTGATACTCATATTAGAGTTGCAGATGATTTGGAGGCCTTCTCAGGAGCTGATTGAGATGCTGAGTAGGAGTTTTCAAATGATAGTTGCTGTATTTTTTATTTACTATCTTGGCGAAAAAGTTAGTTAATTGTTTTCACACTTTTTATATTTTTCTTTTAGTTGATTAGACGTATAATAGGAGAATGCAATAGAGGACTCACACTTTTGAAATAAGAATACATGTCTGATTTCCCCTCCCAAGTCTCTCTCTGTTTCCCCTCTTTCTTCTCATATTTTGTTCTCTTCATCTGCCTTCTCTCGTTATTTTTATATTGCCTTTATCATCTAATTATATAAAAAGTAGTAATAACAGTGATAATAGTTATTAATATTAATCATATGCTCTTAATTATATAGTGGTAATTTAATCTTAACTAATTACAGTTATGTCACCTCTATTATTTTATTAATTAATCAATCGACTCTTTGTGTAATTTTTAATATAGCTATAAGTTATTTAAAACTTTTTTTTATAACGTGAAATTAGCTTATATTATAATTTGTTAATTATACTTTATTATGTCTTATTGGAGTTGAAGAAGTTTAATTAAATTGATGATGATAAAAAAGGGGTTAAGAGCTAAATAGGCTACACTTGCAATTGATGAAATTTAATCAAGAAAGTTATGGGTTTAATGTTATTTTCAGTTATTCCTGTCAAAAATCTACAAATTTTGCCCAAAAGAGCCCCTAACCCGTCCAGGCCCAAGGCCATCCCTTCCCACTTGGCAATCCATGCCATACCTCCTCCACAAATCACACCTTGCCACGTCAGCAGCTCCATACCCTCACACAACAAACATAAATGATCCTGACCATCCATACTCTAATCCAACGGTCCATATCTCACCTTTTAATTTACGCCTTTTCTTTTAATTTTCAGCTTGAATCATAGTTGTCCGATCATTGCAATCAAATGGCCCCTGTTTATTTTTACAAAAATATGTCAAAAACACATATTAATCACAATCCAATCTTAGCCGTTGATCCAGCTAATCCAACAACCACCATGCATTCTCCCATTTTAGACATAGGCAACCCCTCAAAAACCTAATCACTTCTCTCATCCATCAACCACCCCATTTCCCTTTTTTCTCTCATCTCCCTTGTCCTCTCTAACCTCTGTCAGCCCCTGAACCCTAGCACTAGTTCGTGCAAGGTCACTCTTACACTACTATGGGACCTCACTCATCACTTAATGACTGAGAATCTCGCTGAAACATTCCTCTTCCTCTCATCTCCCTTCAAATATCAACTCATCAAACCCTAGCCCGAAAAAAATGAAACCCCAAAAATCTCAACACCACTCTTTCGCCATTACACTCATGCCTAATTTCTCATTAAAATCTTGCATGCATCACCGATCTATAACATATTCGGAGGAATCTCTTGACCTTAGCATGAAATTTGATGATCCAAAGGTC